ACAAGATATATATATCTTGTTCTCTTGATCTCTCTCCCCCACCCCTATGGCTCCCTCAGGAGGAGGGGGCGGGTATGGAGGACTGAGGACACTCTGATGGGTGAGTGCTTGGGAAGACAAGTCCTAGTCTAGGCCAGAACACACAGTAGGGTACTGTATAAGCTGTCGCCAAGGCAGTTGGCCTGCCAGAGCTCAGGGCATGGCTGTGTCAGAGGCCATGAATAACAGCAGCCCCCAGCGGGATAATGGGAGGCAGAGCTGGCATAAACCAGTTCCTCTTTCTCCCTCAGCACCACCCTCTGCCAGCAAAGTCCTTGTGTCCCCCGTCTGCCCCCCACCCCCCCCGCCCTGCTCAGTTCTCTCCTCTCCCCACCTCCAGTAAGACTACTCCAACATCCCTTTCCCCACCGAGCCCATTCCGCAGGGATTCAGAATGAGGCATCGCCAAGGTCTGAGTGAGTGCAACTGGACAGGAAAAGCTCTGGCCAGGAGCCTCTCAGAGGCCTCCCTGAGGTTGTCTACCAAACAGGAGTCCACACCAATGGGGGTCCACACCAAACAGGCACACCAAGTCCAAGCCCTGGGCCCTCAGGCCAGAGTGCTCTCCAGGCCCCAGCGATTTGCACAAAGTGACCCTGGAATCCCTCCGCTTCCTTGGTGAAGACTCAGGAGCAACTCTCCTCTGATAGTGTCTGATCTGTTCCCTTGCTGAAAGTAGGGAGAGGGTGCTTGGAAACCACACTCCTCTTCTCTGGAAATATCTTCCTCCCACATCTCAAGAAAGCCCTCCTGACAATGTCTTTTGACTTTGCCATCTGGCTGTGCCACCACTGAGTTAGAAAACATTTTGGCTTTGAATGGGACTTGGTGCCATTCAAAGAACTTTCATGCCCATATTCCTCTTGGGTCCCACCCTCAAGTCCTCTGGTGCAGGAAGAGTAAGGATGGGTAAGCATTCTTGACGTGAGGAAACAGACACGGGATCATTACGCTGATCACATTCATGCCACAAATCATTCATCCCAGACATGGGCTAGAACTCAGGCAGAGAGCC